TGGTGAGTGACAGAATAATAGTTTGCCATTCAGGGCTTTAGAAGACAGTGGAGTACTGAGTGTTTAAACGGAAATGTTCGATAGTTTTGTCAATGCCTCATCAATAAAATTGTCTTCAGCTCCTGAGTCAATCAAGGCAGTAAAGGAATGGGAAACTTGAAGCTGACTGGAAGATGGTTGGGGAAAGTTACCTGTTCTTGTTAGATTACCCACTTCTAACAAGCTAAGTTTTTTGGCTGCACTGAACAGCTGGATATTCTTTGATGGGGGGGTGAGGGGGGTTTGCCACAGGAAAAACAGTCACCAGATTGGAAGCATCTAAGGCCTTCAGCAGCAGATAGATGTGTGTCTCCTATCTGTATGGGGTGCCCACTGGTGGGCTCTGGTGTCTGTGGCAGCTCAGGAGGAGAGACGGGCAGCACTGTTGAACGCTGCAGCAAACGGGAGTGAACTAGAACGGGAAGTCGGGGACCTTGCTCTCGGCGTTGTTCACACATTCTGTTGTCAAGGCGGATAGACAGCGTGATCAAAGCAATCAAATCAAAAGCTTCCTCTCTGGCTGAGAGCTCATTGTTTAGAGCGTCTATTAATGCATTGCGGTACTCTCCCTTAGAGTCTCGTTGTTCCATCCAGCTTCAGAGGGCAAAGTGTAGAACTCCACAGAAACCTTAGCAGCACTACGAGAGTCCAGATAAAGTCCCAGCAGACGTTAGGAAGCGTCGCCTGCATGGTCTGGGTGATCAAACACTGCTTATTTCAGAGGAGAACTACTCAAGGTTAGGGAAGTCAGAGGGTTAGTAGTTATATGCTTGTGTAACCCGCAATTAGTCAATCAAGACTTTTATTTTTGCGGGCCCACTTCCTGTTTTGCCCAAACTCCTCAACTTATTTAAAGCCCCGCCTCCAGCCAGGTTAAACTACATCACCTGTTCCACTGTGATTGTGGCTGGCTGTTGGCATCCTGCTGAACATTTCACCCTGGAAATAATCCAAATCTCTGAAACCACTGATTTGCTCTCTTGGTGAGTTTGTTCCTAGCATAGCAGTATCAGATTGGTATGCAATTGCTGCTTGATTGCTCATTGGAGCATTGTTTTATTAGAACAGTTGCTGTTGTGCCTGGGCTGTCACAGCTGATCGCTGTTGGGTGTGCCCCACTCCCTGCTTTAAGGTAACTAAACTGCTGGTATGGTGTGTGTGTTTGGGCACTTTGTAAAAGTGGATCAGATCCTCAGATCCTGAACAACTGATGGCGAGCTAAAAAAGGACAAGACCCCTAGGACTCTAGAATTGATTTTTTTTGTGTATTTGTAATTGTTTTGTTTGTTGTTGTTTTTTTTTCCTGCCCCTTATTTGTTTCCCTGTTTACAGGGAAAAACAATAATACACTTGCACAAAAACTAAAACAGTTTCCTTGTGTTTTCATTCACACCTCAGGCTCTTAACGAACTGTTTTTCTGATATCGCAGTTAGCTGCCTAGCCCATAACTGTTACACTTGTGCCCACGCTAAAGCTTGGTCGCACAGCAGACCCATTACATAATATATCTTTCATAGGTCGGAAGCAAAAGCAGTGGTTTGCTGGCTAAACACCATCTGACCCTGCAACAGGAATCCATGGCATTTAGAGAGCTCACAGGAAAACGTGGGTGGATCTCGAACATAAACCCCACGTGGATCCGCTGGTGGAGCAACAGGGAGAGTGGCAGCAGAAGACGTGTGCGCTGTGAGGCTTGGATCTCCGGAGGCTGAGCCTGGAGAGCTTGAGCAGGCTGTGACACTACAACAGAGGTAAGCAGAGAAGTGAGGTGAGCTACCTGAGCTGACAGCTGTGCAAGTTCCATGTGGATGGTCTGGCTAGCTGTCTCCAATCCAGTCAGCCTGTGTTCACTTTGTCCCAATGCTCTCCCCTGACGCAATATGTAGTCCATCAGGGATTAGACATCTGAGGTGGGGGCAGGCTCAGCTGGATCCATACTGTTTGGTCAGATTGTTTTCTGTCACACTTCAGGTGCAGATCGACACTAGGATTGAGCAGTTGGCAAAGCTTGGTGGGTTTATTTTTGGACATTCTAGGTATCTTGCTCAGACAAGCAGAGGGTCAAAGCCAGGTTGGTTGTTCAGGTTCAGAAAGGCAGCAAACATTGGGGATAGATAACAATCTGACGCCATGCAGTAGGAGGATCCGTTCTTAAATGGCTGCATTGGCTGATCAGGATGATGAATCCCAGGTGTGTGGGTCACAGCAGAGGAGCTGGTGTGACAACGTCATACTTATAGATGGGTTCACAGAAAATGGGCACTAAATAATGGTACAGCGGTGGTAGGTATTTGCTGTAGCACCACTTTTAACACATTTAATCCAAAATTGATTCTTTAGAAAACCCACTGCTTCAATTAAGAAAAATAGTAAAAAAAAAAAAAAAGCTGAGCTGATCTAATATATTGTACATTATTATTTTAGGCTCTAGTTTAATACATTTTCATAATACAACAATCTCAGAACAGATTATTGATGTAATGTTATCTACCTATTGAGACAAGGTCACTTAGATCAACTGAATGAATTTGTAGCAATAAGCAAATACTGGGAAATCATACCCTTAAATGAATTGTCCCAATATCATTTTTTTTTATAAAGAAAGAAAGAAAGAAATTATGTTCCCGTCCCCGGAGGTCAGTGGAATGAGAGGGTTTGGTGTTTGTCTCTCGTCTTCTGATCGTTTTCCGGGTTCTTCTCCGCTGAGCCCTTAGGGTTTTGGTTCAGAATGAGGGGAAGGTCGGTTGTAGTCCCATAAGCCCGGCACCTAGGAGAAGACCAGTTTAAAGTTTTCCTGGTATCATGTCTTGTTTCTGTCACTCAACCAATTAGCCTGCCTGTCTGCATCTAAAAGTGTCTGTCTGAGCTTGCTGCTGGACTCCTAGAAATCTGAACCTGACTTCACTCTGATGATTCCTGGAAGCCTGGATCCGTCTATTCCTGCTTGGATTGGAACCCCTGACTCCTGGATTCCTGAACTGTTCCTGTCTGATATGTATCCCTGACCTGGATAGGATCCCTGCCTTCTCTTTGAGGTTGCTGCATCAGGGACACTCTGGGCGGCTTTTGGCACCGCACCTCGTTTGGCAGGTCATCAGCTGGACTCGCAGTCCTCAGAGAAAATGGACTGAACTGTTAAACCAGGTAAGTCATTCACATGGATCATCGTCTTCCATCAGATGATCATGGTCACTTACCTGTGTATCTCCCAACCCCAGGGTGCTAGTGAATGGTTGCCCCCCAAACCCCCTGCAGCAACTGAGATCTGCAGATCCCCAGCTCCCCGTCCTTCTGTTTTGTCTATTTATGTTTTCTGTTAATAGCTTTATTACAATAGCTTTGTTTGTGTTTTGTCCAGTGAAAAACTGTTAAAGACAGAAGCACAGGGCAATGAGGATTTTCTATGGAAACAAAAGCAACAAGTGCACACAACGTGTTTAGCAGCTTAACAAGTGTTTAGCAGCTTAATGCAAAGATTTGCAAAAAATAGTCATATCGTAGAATAAAATTGAGCTCTGTTGTATTTATTTTTACATGAGAGTTATTTAAAAACTTTTTGCTCAAATTATTACGTTCCTCAGAGTAGTTCTAGGTCATTATTCTCTCAATGTGAAGCTCTTCCTGGAAGCAGAGCAGCTTTCAGCACTCTCCTGGTAATCATGTTCTACTCTGAGACCTGGATGCACATTCATGTCTTTGTATAACATGGAGATGATGGTTTAATGTGTGCAAAAAGCATCAGTGAGCTCTGGTAGAAACAAGCTCCTGAAGCTAAACACATTAAAAACAATGCTGAGAATTAAATAAATAAGTTCCAATTGTTTCTCCTTCTGTATTCAAATTATCTGAGCCCACATGGATACCAGGGTTTGGGATCAGGTATTTGAATAGAAGAATTAAACCATATATACAAACAGGCAGAACAGCAGATCCAATCATCTGCATGGAGTACTACAGACTTCAAGGATGAGCTCTTCTCTCATTGTCTCATATGCCTCATCATTTTCTCCCCTTGTCTTGTTTTCTACAGTTGATTGCAAATGAAATCAAATTAACAGCAGTCTTATTCTAACCTAATTTTATGAGCAATTTATTTTGAAGAGGACCAAAGTTGAAGCATGCTGACTTCATTCGTTGTTATAAGCATCCTTAATCAGTCATACATCCTTACAAGAGCAGAGGACTTTTCCTGTCTTACACACTTTGTGCCAATCCTTTTTAGCCCAATCGATTCATTCAGTTTACCTCAACGACACTGAGGCCCGACAGAAATATTTCTCCCCTAAAATCTTCCTTCCCCTTCACTCTAAACACCTCTCCAGGCTTGTATTGATGAATGATCGCCTGCAACAATCAATTCTGTTCAGATATGCTCGCTTTTGGAGCGGATAAAAAAAGAAGATGAATGGATTTTTAGAGTTATTCAGCATACAGGCCCAAGGTTATTGTCATTTGGGACTCTGGCCAACCAGATATTTTTGCAGGTAGGGCAGACTGAGTAACTGTATTACTTCAGACAAACCTCTGGGAAAACATGGAAAGGATACAGAAAAGGGCCCTGTACAAGAAGAGCTCGATAAAGTGCCTGCAACCTAATTCACTTCTATTTATTTGATCTCCCTTTACAACAAAAGTAATCTTAGGGCTTTTTAGAGGGGGAATTAATTCAATACATCTTCAAATAAATTAAATTTATCTCAATCCAATTATAATTCTTCTAAATCTAATTACACTGATGTTTTTTTTTCTTCTTCTTGCATAACTGCGTTCATTTTAACCCAACATAAACACTTCAGTCTTTATGATAGTTGGGAGAAAAAATTTGATAAATTTAAACCAAACTACCAGATAAATGTACCTCTTTAAGGAGCTCTTAACTATCAATTCAATCAAAATAAAAACATTTATTAGTGCAATAAATGTGACAGAACTGTTGATCCATTAGACAGAAATACCAGCTTTAATTATCCATAATTGGTGCAAAAACATCATGTTCCTCACATATAGGATCAACTCCATAGTTGTTTGGTTGGTTAGCTCTGAGGTGCTAGCATTAGCTTCCGCCGGACTTGGCTCCTTCGGAATGGCTTTCTTCTTGGTGGAAGAATCCGGCAGGGAAAAAAATGGGAAATCTTTTTCACGCTGTGGTCTAGGCATCTCTGAAGTGTTTCAAGATTGACAAGGACGTGTTTAACTGGAGGAAGGTATAAATATATTTTAAGCCTGGAGCAGAGAAGAGCTAGAGAAGAGCCTGGACAGGATCCGGACATCAGAAAGTGCATTCTAACTGATTGTTAGTTGAGACAGCAAGTTGCCTGATGAAGGTTGATTCCTCACCGAAACGTTCCATTTTACTTGCTGTATTCTGTCTTGACTCAACTTTATCAAAGTGCCAAGAGCCTCCAAGGCCTCCAGCTCTTCCCAGATCGGACGGTGGGCTTCACTGAGGCCTAGACTGATGCCGCTGCAAAGGAGACTGAAGGCCAGCACACAGCGACGACCCACCTTCACCACCAGGGGGAGGCCTCCTGGTCCAGCTGCAGCATCCTTAACCAGTGGGTCCATCGAACCATTATCTGCTCAGGTAACTGTGGCAGCCAGACAAATGGGGTCACAAAAGAAAATTTGTGAGTGTTCCCTTAATCTGACTCATAAATGTGCTGTTCTAGGTGACTCAAATGTGGCCAAGTTTCAGGCAAACGCCAGATTGACTTTAAAATACCCTGAAACACAGGTTAACAGTTTCCCAGGGGCTAAATGGAGACACATGACTCACCTGTTTGAAAAGGCGCCAGTGACGGAGGACGTGGAGCGTATGATCCTGTCCCTGGGTATCAACCACAGAGCTCAGAGGGACAAGAAAGCAGCTGTATAGGAAATGAGAGAGACATTGAGAGCAGCCAGGGTTAAATGTCCAAAGGCTGAGATCTTTGTCCCTGTGATAAATTTCTCACCAGCACTGCCTCTCCAGGAACAGATGACCCTCTCTCACATGAACATCTCACAGCTCAACCGCTTCATCCCGGCGCTGGAGAGACAGCTGTTCACTGTGAGCAGTGACCATACCATACCAACTTTACTTATGAAGCACTTTATGCACCGGACAGGACCAAGGTGCTGCACACAATCATTAAATACAATGAAATTATAAAATAGAAGAAAAAAAACCAGTGTAAAATACATATTAATATACAACGAGAATAAAACAAAGTAAGACCTCTCAAATTGTGCCAAAATCCAAGGAAAAAAGATGAGTCTTAAGAAGGGACTTAAAAACAGCCAGAGAAGAGGCCTGTCTTCTGCTCAGAGGCAGATCGTTCCACAGCTTAGGAGCTGCCACAGAAAAAGCACGGTCTCGTCTGAGCTGCATTTAGTCTTTGGGACCCTCAGAAGCAACTGATCAGCTGACCAGAGGGACGGGAGGGTGTGTAAGAATGCAACAGCTCAGACAGATAAGAAGGAGCAAGGCCATTAAGAGTTTTAAAAACAAATAAAATAATTTTAAAATCAATCCTAAAATGTACTGGCAGCCAGTGTAAGGAAGCTAAAACAGGGGAGATGTGGTCAAATTTTCGTGTACCTATTAAAAGACATGCAGCAGCTTTTTGAACCCTCTGAAGTTGGGAAATAAAGAGGTCACTGACCCCTGTATGAAGTGAGTTACAGTAATCTAGTCGTGTGGTCACAAATGCATGGATCACTGTTTCAAAATGTTGTTTTGATAGAATGGGTTTTATTTTGGCTAGCTGCCTTAAGTGGAAAAAGCTGGACTTTATAACAGCTCTGATGTTCCATTTTAAGACCAGCATCCATCTTAACCCCTAAGTTAGTAATAACCGGCTTAACGTACTGAGCCAAGACTAGACAACGTCCAGTGGTCTAAAGCCACTACAGTTCGTATGCTGAGTCACTGGGGTGAGTGGCTAAAATAGAGAGCCCCAAGAGCCTGCAAAGGAAGGAGGGGCACTCTCAGATTGTCAACAATAAAAACATATGTAATCTGTCTAAAACATTTACTCTCAGTGATCCAGGGTAATAATAATTTGGGCAAACTTAAAATCCAAAGGAGACATGAGCTACAAAACTACCACAGAAGGATCAAATCTACTACAAAGATGAGGATGGAAATAAAAATAATAATAACTTACCTTTTATGCCGGAGTCGAGCTAGTCTCCTCCTATTTCTTCTCTTCCTCCTGAGGTAGAAAAAATAATTTCACAAGATCTGAAATACATAGATAAAACATTTTAATGAATTAAAACCATACCTAACCTAAACATATTAGAAACTAAAGCACTTAAGGAATTAATTAATAATAATATTATAATTAAACCTGCTGATAAGGGCAGCTCCATTGTCATAATGGACAGGGAGCAATATTTATGGGAGGGATATAAACAATTATACAATGATACTTATTATAAAAAACTAGATATCCCTATTTATATGAATACAATCCACCTATTAAATAAGAATATTGATGATTTATATAATAAAGAAATTTATTAATGCCAAACAATAGTCCTACCTACGCTGGTCCTCTGAGCCCAGAGCCAGAAGGTTTTATTTACACCCCAAAATCCACAAGGAACCAGAAAAGTGGAGCAAACCCCACGAGATCCCTCCTGGCAGGACCATAGTCTCTGACCGCAGATTTTCTAGACACCACCACATATAAAGGGAAACAGTTTGATAAAACACATAAATTGGATATAAAAGTCTTCTTCAAACCTACAGACACACATGCTCTATTATTTAAAACCAGTTATCATCCTAGGCACACTTTTGCTGGCCTACTTAAATCACAACTCCTCAGATTTTACAGAATCTGTACACAGAAAACAAACTTTTTAAATTTAAATTTAAATTAAAATTATAAAATAATCACGGCTTACAAAAGAAACAAAAACCTGAGGGATTTCCTCGTCCATGCTGAGGTCAAACCTTTGAAGGAACCCAAGGTTAGTTTACTGGGTCCCTTGCCCCGTCACCTTGACCCTCACCCTCACCCTAACCCTTTTATCTTACCCTAAAGTCGTCTGACACCCAGGCCTTAACCCTAAGCCGTATATATGTGCTGAGCCCCCTCCTCTACTCCCTCTACACCCACGACTGCACCCCCACCTACCCGAGCAACACCACCATTTGCAGATGACACCACAGTGGTGGAGCTCATCTCAGGAGGGGATGAGACAGCTTACAGGACGTGGTGGAGCATCTGTCAGCATGGTGCATGGACAATAATCTGACTCTGAACACCTCCAAGTCAAAAGAGCTCATCGTTGACTTTCGGAGGTGTAAACAGGACACACAGCCCATTATCATCAACGGGGAAAGGGTGGAGATGGTGCCAGTCTTCAGGTTCTTGGGCACCCACATCAGCGAGGACCTGACGTGGACTTCCAACTCCACAGTGATCCTGAAGAAGGCGCAGCAGAGACTGCACTTCCTGAGGACTCTCAGGAAGAACAATCTACGACCAGAGCTGCTGCGGACCTTCTCTCGCTGCACGCTGGAGTCGGTGCTGAGCTGCGGCATCTCGCTGTGGTTCTCCAACTGCACTGCAGCAGAGAAGAAGCAGCTCCAACGGGTCATCAACACCGCCCAAAAACTGACTGGCTGCCCTCTCCCCTCCTTGGAGGAGATTTACTCCACCCGCTGCCTCAGGAGAGCCCGCAGCACCATCAAGGACTCCTCACACCCCAGTCACCATCTTTTTTCACTGCTCCCATCTGGGAGACGTTTCAGGGCAATAAGAACAAAAACAACCAGACTGAGAAACAGTTTCTTTCCTAGAGCTGTTGTTGCCCTGAACGCCTCACGTACAATGAAACAACGGTAACTATCAATAATGCTACCTCACGTGCAATAACCTGTACCCGCTACCTCAGGAGAGCCTGCAGTATCCCTTTTTAAACTTTTTTCGTATTTATTTAATTTTTTTATTTTATATTTTTTAAATTTACACTAATTGCTTGTACTGTTTTTTTCTTTTTCGAGTAATTTCGTTGCACCCCTGTGGAGCAATGACAAATAAAGAATTCTGATTCTGATTCTATATCACACACAATACACCTGCTCCCATTTAGAACAACTGCCCAGACCATGTAACCTAACCCTAAAGTCATAGGTTATCCTCACCTTAACCCTATTAAACACACCCAATACGCCTACTCCAATTTGGAACAAATAACCAGACCATTTAATCTAACCCTAAAAGTCACATGACACTCTTATCCTAAGCCCTTTATCACACCTACTTCCAATTTAGAACAGCTACCCAAACCCTTTTAGCTACAACACTAAACGTAGGACCCCAACTACCCAATCTAACCCCTTAGATAAGACTCTACTAAGCCCAGCACATAACAATCACAGACCAGCCTTGGGCTGGAACTTGCATATCCACAAACAAGAGAATCTTACCAAGAGACTCTTGAAGCATTCGCAAACACCCTACACTCCACAAGATGGATTCAAATTGCTGACCTATGGGGGTGATCTTCGAGTTGAGCGTGCATTGCTTTGACGCTCATTCAACTCTGTGGAAGCCATCAGGCATCAGGGGAGGATCATCTGTAAATTTAACCCAAACCTAACCCTAACCCAGACCTCATAGCTTTAGATAGTGTGCCTTGCCTAAAGAAGACCTATAGGAGGTCAAAACGTTGCAGCATATAGGCACACAAACTCTTTGTTTCTTCAATTTTATTAGGATTTATATTTGATAATTTATTTAAAAAAATTAGAGCTTAAAAAAAAATACACACAAAAAAACCATTTTCATTTGAAGTATTGTTTACCTGTTTGGAAACCCTCCTTTAGTTGTTCATTTTATTATTTTATTTTTTTCACAAATACAAGCACTGTGGTACAAACATTCCAAAATAATACACGCACACATTAGTTAATTTGTAGTACAAGCGGTGCGAAACAAACTTAAATACAAAACACATACACTTTAGTTAAAAAAACTACATAAGATGGATGGCTGGACAGTAGTCCGCAATAATAATAATAAAAAAAGAAAAGGGCAATGGAACCAGCCACAGCAGTTGGACTGGGGTGATGCGGGTCCAGTCCAGTAGATGGACTGCGCACCATCCTTCTCCTTTGGGAGGGCGAATTAGTTCCCATATCTAACCAGCCAGTGCCTCCCTGGGGGGACTCGTATTACACTGGTCCTCAATCGTGTCCTTTTGCAGCGGTGGTACAACAAGGTCCTCAGAGACCAGTTTGGAGAAGATACCCTCCACAGAACACAGGATCGCATTGTCACGTGTCAACCAGCAGATCCCCAATCTGGTACAGAAGCTACATGCAGTAATTAAAAATGTTCATCACCTGGAAAATATGAAGCCAGCAGAGGGGAAACCAGAACCCTGCATGATTTCCAGGATGGTGGATATTATAGCAGACATGAGTAAGCTAGCTTCACCGACAGAAAATACAAGGCATATGATTATTGGCAATGCTAAAAATTGGGGCCACAATACTTACATAATTCTTATAAAGCATTATGAGAACCGGGGCATGGAACTGCTGGGTGATCTCTCACCTCTTCCTACTGCTGGATGGAGAGAAGCTTTTGAGGTTGCAGTCTGCTGGGCTACACGATACCTGAAGTGACTATGAAGAGAGGAGATTAATATTGCGGAACTCTGGTCACAGACAGGGCAAACAATGCCAACTCTGTACAATCATAGTCTCTGCACCAGAACACTACCATAATTCAGGTGGAGGAATTGCGGTAGACCGAATTTGATGCCTCCACAACAATGCACCAGCCAGAGCAGGCTCGGGTTAGACAACCGAGCAGTTCTCCTAGAAGGGTTAAATCAGTGGCATCAGTTTCTTCTGAAGAGAGAGTTCGGGATGACGAAGAATTGAGTGAAGATGACGAGTTGCTTAATGAACAGGAAGCTCCTGTTTACCAATCCGAGTATCCCGAACTAGAAGCTCTCTTTGATGAGTTGCAGGAAGAGGAAGAAAGACAGGAAGCTGAAGAACGGGCTCAACAGACTTCAGCTCAAGCAGAGCAGGAACAAGAATCTTGCTCAGAAGATGGAGGCATTTTTTAAAGAATCATTCGACCACTTCACCTCACCTGAGCCACCCAGATTCCATGTCACTATACATCCTAACACACAACGTAAGCTGACAGAATGGAATCTGGAGGTTAATAAAAAGTGGCTAATAATCGGGGCTTCAAACCTTTCCGATTTCCCGTCCTACTTATGCAAACATTTGCAGGTAGATGGCTTTCCTGGCAGCCACTTTCGGCATGTGGAGGCTCTGATGGAAAAGACAGTACCTTACCCAGGTCTAGTGGTGGAAAAGATAGTACTGTCCATTGGGATAAACAGCAGGGGTAACAAATCCAGTGAAACAACAATAAAG